CATGTTGCACAGATCTGGTCATATCATTCAGATCCTCACCAGCCTAAATGGTCAGTGTAGATGGGGGCCATGATTCAATACTCCCAAGAGTATTGAAGGAACAAGTCATCTCGGAACCATTGGCAATCATCTTTGAGAGTTCTTGGAGAACAAGAGAAATTCCAACATGTTGGAGGAGGGCAATGTGTCAGCCTCACGTCAATACCAGGCAAGATTCTGGAAAAGATTGTTAAGGAAGTGGTCTGCAAACACTTAGAAACAAATGTGGTCATAGCTGATAGTCAACATGGATTTATCAAAAACATGTAATGCCAGACTAATCTGATCTCTTTTTTCAATAAAGTTACAAGCTGAGTAGATGCGGGGAATGCAGTGTATGTAGTGTATCTGGATTTCAGTAAGGCCTTCTACAAGGTCCCCCATGACCTTCTGGCAAACAAACTAGTCCATTGTGGGCTAGACAAAACTACGGTTAGGGGCTAGGCAAAACTACAGTAATGTTTGGAGGCTGCTGAGACTTTGCCACCAACACACGATATTCTGAGGAAACTTTAGTATGGAAACAGGCTACCACCCAAATTAAAAAGGGATTTTTCAGTTCTTGTTTGATCAGAGCTTTTAAGTAAGCTGGAATGTGCTGAATTCGCACTCAGGGCTCAATACACTGAGGTGAATGATATTGAGATTCTCCTAAGTAGTTGCTTCCACCAATCTGGAAACTCTGTTCCCCTAATCTCCTATGGAACTTCTTCATATAGAGGCACTCTGAGACACTTGTATGATTAACAAAGAACTAAGTTGTTTATCTGTGTAGATTTCAAAAATACAGGCACTTAAGCGTAATGGTTGCAAGAATGAGATGAAGCTTATGGTTACTTTAAAACAGTTCAGTACTTGGTTCCAATAGCAACTCTTCACTCCCTCAGGAAACTAGCAGACTTCCTTCTGACTATAATTCCTACTACTTCAAACAGCCCTTTCCCTTGGATCTGTTTATAAACTCCATACCAGCTATTCTTCACTAATAGCTAACTGAATTCTCTAACTAACCTCTGTGGCTTCACTAACTTCTCTTCTCCTAATTGTCTTCCAAAACCTAACTCCCTTCTTCAACACTCAGACTAACTTGTCAGATTTTAAAATGCACTCCTAAAGGCAATTTTTTTCTGGACTTCAACTAAGCTCCACTCACTTTCTCCCAGCCAATCACAAAGGTTCTCCACATTTCCCTCCAGGCTGCTCCTAAGCTCCGCCTACCCTAGGAAATGATTAACCTAAGATGGATGCCTCCATGCACCATCCCACAAAATGGCTGCCAAAATACTTGGACCTACTTCCTGAGCTTTTTTCTCTGGCCTACAGGTAGGCAATTCATCACAGCATGTTTAGTCTGAAGAAGAGAAGGCTGAGAGGAGACACGATAGCTTTGTATAAATGCGTGAGAGGAAGTCATAGGGAGGAGGGAGCAATCTTGTTTTCTGCTGCCCTGGAGACTAAGATGCGGAACAATGGCTTCAAACTACAAGAAAGGAGATTCCATCTGAACATTGGGAAGAATTTCCTGACTGTGAGAGCCATTCAGCAGTGGAACTCTCTGCCCAGGGTGTGGTGGAAGCTTCTCCTTTGGAAGCTTTTAAACAGAGGTTGGATGGCCATGTGTCAGGGGTGCTTTAAATGCAATTTTCCTGCTTCTTGGCAGGGGGTTGGACTGGTTGGACTGGATGAGGTCTCTTCCAACTCTATGATTCTATGATTCCATGATTCCCATTGTTGGCTGCCCACACAAAACTAACTTATGTTTTCATCTTCTGCACTCTTTCTTTCTCTTTTCCCCTACCTCTGTCTCTCTTTTCTTCTTTCTGCCAAAGTACAAGTGTCAAGAAATCTTCCTCGAATCCCTAATGATGCAATTCCACTGGGATGCCTCTGGCATGATCGTGAGCCTACATTCTAACAGAAGGGAAGTTTTCTATCTTTCTGCAGCACTTTCAACTCAGATCCCCAATAATAAATGTAAACAATATTGTTCTGGTTGTGATTATCTATTTTTATCCCCCCCACCCCCACATCCCCACTTTCCAGAATGGTGGGTGTCATTATGGTGTGCATACTAAAAACCACAACTGGGGAAAAATTAAACATTTTGATCTACAAACGTCAAGGCTGGAAAGAAGACAAATACACTCAACTTGAGAATCAGGGTATTTTATTTATTTATTTATTTATTTATTTATTTATTTATTTACTGCATTTATATCCCACTCTTCTCACCCTGAAGGGGACTCAGAGAAGCTCACAACAAAGGCACAATTCGATGCAATGAGTACATATATAGAAAAAATAATACATACTTTAAAATCACATAAGTAAAACATATAAACTTAAAACAATTACTTAATATCACACAATCCAAAAGCATATTCCAGGAGCCATTCTGGTTATCACCTGCATTATTCTTTCTTGCACTGAGAGATCATTATGGCAGTGGGAATCATTGTCCAAAAGCTTGGTCTCACAACAATGTCTTCACTTTCTTCCTGAAGGTCAGGAGGGAAGGGGCTCATCTAATTTCCCTGGGGAGGGAGTTCCATAGCTGAGGGGTCACCACAGAAGGCCTTGTCTCTCGTCCCCACTAGTCACACCTGCAAGGGGGTGGGATCGAGAGCAGAGCCTCTCTGGACAATCTTAACCTCCGAGATGGTTAATAGAGGGAGACACGTTCTGACAGGTAAGCTGGACCATAACTGTTTAGGACTTTATAGGCTAAAGCCTGCACTTTGAAATGTGCTCAGTAGCAGGCTGGCAGCCAGCAAAGCTGGCACAACAGGAAAGTTGTGTTCTCCCTGTATCCTGCTCCAGTAAGAAACCTGGCTGCCACTTGTTGAACTACTTGAACTTCTGAACAGTCTTCAAAGACAACCCCACGTAGAGCTTGTTGCAATAGTCTATTCGAGATGTAACAACAGTGTGGACTACTGAGGGTAGGATGGAATATGAGTCACAAGTACAGCAGCCTTGGAGAATGTAAGACATTTTGTCAGGGGCAGATTGCTTTTGGACAAAAAACATACATGTGTGCATGTAATTCAGAAGACCTTATGTAGGTGGAAACTGTTGAATCCTAAAAACATTTACAAGGCCTTCAATACGGAATGTACTATGTCAAATGCACTCTTTTTTAGGGTAAGACTTTTTGTAAATACAGATTTATTCAGTACATGTTCTGACATATTTCCCCAACTACACAGTATATGGAGACATTTTAATTTTAAAATATAGTGATAAGGATGATGTCCAAAAAAACCCCTCAGTTACACACTGTGTATAAGTGGCTTCTCAACTGGAGGAAAATCCCAAAGAACTAGGAAGACTAAATAGAGCAATTTAAGAATGTAATGGAATACAGGGAGCACACAACTCCCGTTATGCCAGCTCCGCTGCCAGTCTGCTATCGAGCACAATTCAAAGTGCTAGCTTTAGCCTATAATGCCCTAAATGGTTCCCGTCCAGTTTACCTGTCAAAACGTATCTCCTTCTATGATCCACCTTAGAGGTTAAGATCATCTGAGGAGGCCCTGCTCTCAGTCCCACCTTCTTTGCAGGCATGACTGGTGTGGATGAGGGACAGGGGTTTCTGTGGTGGCACCTCATCTGTGGGACTCCCTCCCCAACAAAATCAGACCAACTGCTTCTCTCCTGATCTTCAGGGGAAAAAAGTGATTTTGGAAACAAGATTTTGGCAAGTGACTAGAGCAGTGCAACAAGTGACATTAATCAATGTGACTGACAAATGGAATGGCCCTGGATTATGTTTTGGATGGCATAATTGATGTTTTCATCATTCATGTTTTAATTGTTTGGTTTTAATTGTAATTGTATGAGATCCAATTGCTGCTTGCTATAAGGCCTCCGGGGTGTGAAAGATGGGATACAAATATGGTAAATAAATAAATAATAAATAATACAGTGTGAACTTTGTAAATTAACAACTTGCTCTAGTCTTTAAAATGAGAGGAAAATATGAGAAGCAAAAATGTTGCAATCTAGTGTAGGTACCAGGAAAGCTATAAAGGGGGTAATGGCACCAAGTTGATGCATGTACTTGGTACCATTACCCAAATCCTCACTGCTCACACTTGACATTTTAGTGTGCAAGTGTGTCACACATGCAAACCCTTTTGTGCTGAATCAGCTTTGAATGGGTAGAGATTGGCATCCAGGCTTTAATGGTGTCTTCGCACTTCAGTACACAAGGGGCTTTTGACTGCTTGCTCTTCTTTGGTCACAGGACCTCCAAGCGCCATCACATGATGCTGGTGTGGCCCTGCCCCATCCATGGCTGAAGTGGCGAGGCCATATGATGGGAGAAAGGGCAACACACGTTGCTGCCCTTTCCCTTGTCTGACGATGTCATCATGTGATGGGGAAAGGGAGGTGCCACGTGCACCTTCTGTTTCGTAGGGAGATGGAATAAAATAGGGGAGGGCATCAGTGTGATGTGATCCTTATATACAGAAATACAATTTGATCCTCCTCTAGCATTTTGTGCCAGGATATTTAGAGGAGCATGGCAATGTCCTGAGGTTTCAGCCAGCACTATGGGTTACGGCAGCTATACAGCTTTTCAATGGATATAAGATATTTTCTTGACTTTACTAACATCACATTTACATCACTGAATATGGGAGACCAAACAGTGTTGCCTTTTTCTGGCAACTGCCAGTTTGATGGCGAGTTACCATTGAACAATGTCTGCAACCCCTTATGGACAAATAATCACCAGCAATCTCTTATATACTTGCATATCTAAAAAATTAAAAGCACATACTGGAAAAAAAATTCACACCCTCAAATGTTTAACTCTTAAAGCACCTTATTAATAAAAGAAAGATCTGGTTATAGTTTCCTCATAAGCCTTATACATTAAAATTAGGTCTTCCCTTCTCAAATTTGGGTTTGGTGATGGGGAAAATATATCAGAAAGATAACCAGCCACTTACCAGCCCCCTCACCCACTTCTTCAGATCATTCTTCGGTGATCAGCATGGTGCTGAATGTTGCTGCAGTGTTCCTTGCTGTAGAAAAGGAAGAGAATGTAGCCGAAATTAGAAAAGGAAATTGCATTTTTCAAAATGACCAAAATCAGTAGGGCCCATTCACACTACACAAATAAAGTGCTGTGTTCCACTTCAATTGCCATGGCAACATTCCATGGAATCCTGGGATTATCAATTTAGGAGAGGGCATTTGGAATTCTCAGCCAGAGAGCTCTAGTTCCCAATAAACTACAAGACCCCAGAATAAACAGGATGTTCCCAGAACGTTTAAAGTGGAACACAGCACTCTATTTCTGTAGTGTTAATTGGCTCTTAGTTTGGATTTTACAAAGCACTGCACTAGCTAGTAATCCAGAATGGATACTGCTTTTGAAAAGTGGAAAGCAGATTGGTTTGTTTAAAACTATCCAAAATCTGCCGGAATTACTAATCTCTTACTATTAAGATCTGCTAAAATACTAGGCTCCTAATAATCGTAACTGATTTGTTATAGAAGACAAACTTAAAACAAAAAGATTCACTAACATTACAGATGTTTCTGTTGGGAGGATTCTCATATTATTTAAGATGTGACAACAGCTGCCTTATCCTCTTATATAGAATCATAGTTGGAAGGGCGCTCATGGGCCATTAGGTTCAACCATTTGTTCTATTCAGGGTCTTCAGTTCAAGCCTCCCAAGCAGGTAGCTGTATAGGCTCTTTGGGAAAATATCCAGGGAAGAAGACCTCACCATCTTTCTAGGCAATTGCTTACATTGCCGAACTGCTCTTACGATCAAGGCATTCCTTCTAATGCTCAATTAAAATCTACCCCCCTGGAGCTTAAAATCATTAGATTTGGTCCTGTGCTCTCATGCAAGAAAGAACAAATCTGCACCCTCCCTTTGTGGCAGCCCCTAAGGTATTGAAAGAGTGCAATCACATCATTCCTCAATCTTCTGTTCATCAAGTTGAACATGCCTAGTTCTTCCAAACTTTTATCTTATGTTATGTTCTCCATGCTTTGATACAGCCTTGTGTTGTCTGAAGCTGGGACCCCTCCACCCCCAAACGTTCTAGTTTAGAAATGACCTTGAGTTACTCTGCTCAGTTTTGGATGCAGGAAGATACCCCCTGTCAAGTAGCAATTTCCCCCCACCGCCACATAATAGTAATAGTAAAAGTAGTCATAAAAACAATTTTATTTCTTATCTGCCTCTCCTTGTGGCTCAAGGCAGGCTACAAAATAATTGAAACTCATAAACATTATAAAAATACCACAATACAAATATAAAAATGTATTTCAATATAATGACTTCAAGATACCAGAATTTCCACTTCAACCTCACCCCTGGATTTAGAACAGAGATCAGCCTAGAACAGAGATCAGCCTATTGTTTAATCAAGGAGCCCTGATATCCACCAGCAAACATTGTTTCCCCTGAAACTACCACTTCCTATGTTAATGAGCTCCTGTGGGCTCAAAGGGGTGGGCAGATAAAGAAGGCAGACTCAAAAGTTCCTCCAATTTTTTAATTTAATTTTTTTATTGTTTCATAGTGTATATAGAAAACAAAACAAATGAACAAAAGGAAAAAAAGGGAAAAATATGTAAAAGATTTACAAAAGAGTCAATATTCAGTGCTCATATGTACAATCTGATTTGGTTGTACAATTATTTATACCTTAACATTACATAACCCTCTATCCCCCCACCTGTGGACCCCACCCCCTGACCTCCGAAACCCCTCAAAACAGGATCGCATTACTAAACAACAACTACCCAAATATCTTCTTTCACTGAATCCCCTTTATGGCAATCTTCAAGTTTACCTTTGTCTTCTTTTCCAAATACCCAAGTGCCAGCCTCCATTTGTTTGCACATTCTTCATTATTTCCTCCTCTGCTGCTATTTGTCAGCTTGGCCATTTGGATATAATCTACTAAATTATCTCTCCAATTTTTAATAGATAACTATTTTTCCCCTTTCCAAGTTTTGGCTATTATTAATCTTGCCGCAACAAAGCAATATTGACAAATTTCTTCATCTCCTGCACTGATATGCATTCTAAATAATCCTAATAGGCATATTTCCGGGTTTTTCTTAACCTTTTTGTTAATCATATTGTTTGTTTCTTTCACCACTTTTCCCCAAAATTCTTTGACTATATTACACATCCACTATACGTGAAAAAATGATCCCTTCGCCTTCTTACATCTCCAACATGTTCCTTGTCCTGTTTTCTCTATTTTAGCCAATAATTCTGGAGTTATGTAAGTTCTATAAAACATTTTAAACATATTTTCTCTTATTGAGTTGGCCACTGAAAATTTAAACCCCCTTTCCACAAATGTTCTCATTCTTCCAAATCAATAATCTTTGGACCACGTAATCATAACAGTTTCATCTGGTTATCTATTAAATTGTATTCTAAAATATATTTATAGAGCCTGGATATTAGGCCTTTGTTGCCCTTCTCAAAGATACCTTCTAACTCTGAGTTTTTAGAGACAATTCCTACCTTTGCGTCCTTCTTAAATCTATCATGCAACTGAAAGAAGCAAAACTAATTCAAACCAAAGTTCCTCCAATAAAGGGCCTTGTTACGTTTCTCATCACACATTTTACACCAATAAGCCTGTGGATCGTAATTTGTACCAATCAGCAACTATGAAGCCTCCTGCACTCTGATTATTTAAAATCAGTGGCTGAGAGAATACTTTCCATAAAGAAGGGTAGAGATTAATGTCTATTAAAAAGTCTCATCTGTTTATGGATGGGAGGACGGAGCTCCTCGCAGTGCGGCTGCCTCCTCCAGAACCCCCACTGCTTCCTTTTACCAATCAAAGTTAATTACTGTGGACTAATAGGACTGTGGGTTGCATCTTGGACCAAACATAGCAATGTCTATTCTTTCAAATGTCTAAACTGTCCATGCCTGTAACTGTGGATTATGTCAAATTTAGTTTTTCTTCCCTTAACATCCAATGAAGCAATAAACAATTTCTGATCCTGCCCTTCATCTCTGTATGTCTGTACTGGAATTGATTGGAACAAGCACGCCAGAAATGGTCCTTCAAGATTTTGGGCAACACTTGTTCTTTTTCTGAACTCACTCCACTTACCTATATCTTTCTTTAAACGAGGCATCGAAACTGGATGCAGTACTCTATACTGGGCATGATCAATGTAGAATATATACAGACACTATAATGCAGATTTATTTATTTATTTATTTATTTGCTGCATTTGTATACCACCTTTCGCAGCCAGAGGCTTCTTGAAGCTGGCTTGAGAGCTTGTTGTCCACAAAATCCACCCCTCAATGTTTGCTTCAGTATGTATCAAACCATAAACGGTGTGTTTAAAAAATCACCATAAAGTACAGAATAATACTTTATTTTTCTGGTTATTTAATATTTAATGTTTATTTTACTTAAGTGATACTTGTCTTTACTGTTCTAATATAGCACAAATCCTATGTAAAATCATACTACGTATTTTAGGCATTAATATTGAAATCTGAAATATATACAGAAAGTCTTTACTAGTTGACCTGCTGGATTATGACACAGTATACCTATATGCTGTGACTGAAAACAAAAATTATAGGCTTTTGCACCCTTTCAGCCTACCTGCTGGGTTTCCACACAATAGCTGTGTTTTAAGACAAAGATTATAGACTTTAGCAGTTCAACATTAATATATATCACTTAGACATAATAAAGGAGGTTGTGAGTCACTGAAATGACAGGATTTAATGTGAAACCTCTAATTATGCATTTAATCATTGACTATTTCTGTGCCCCTTTCAACACAGAGGCATAATTTTCATCCAACAGAAGCCATGACACAACAGGCAGTTAAACAGCTGTGTAAATAGGATGGTTTTTTTAACCAGCTCACAAATAGGTCTTATAGTCTAGTAATAACAGTAATTCATTACATGCCAAAACCAGCACTGCATGTAGGAGCAGAGAAATTGCTACTCCATGACATGAAAATACAATACAATAAAGCCTATGCTGTCTCTTCAGTGGAGGGCTGCTGCTTGATTGCTAGGCAGCTCAACAAAACCTCACCAAAACGGAAAGGAGCTTCACAGGAATGGAACTGGGTCATTCTGTATTTTGGTCTTGAGACACATTTTCATTAGCTGATACATTAAATATCGCCCTCGCCGGAATAGATCTCCGTGGTTCATGGATGCATTATGTCAGATGAAACTTGAGTGGAAGAGATTAGAACGTAAATGGCGCAAGAAACCTGATGAAACATAAGTCGGCTTTTGAAATACATCAAAAAATCTACGAAGCAGACACCAGAGAGGCCAAAAAAGAATATAATTCCTCATTGATAGCTTCTGCCAGATCTCGACCTGCTCAAATATTTAAAATTGTTCGTGACATCACAAATCTAACTCATCCGGCCAAAGATGTGGCTAGTCAAGATATTACAGCAGAGATCTGCCAGAGCCACTTTATAAATAAGATCAATCTGCTCCGCGAAGGGCTACCTCCCACAGAGGACACATAGAGGGAACTAGAGGCCTTCTGGCCATCTAGTGGCCAACTTCTTGAACATTTTGTGTCATTAGAAATGGAAGACCTGGAAAAGACTCTAGCTGCAGCAAGACCAACCACCTGCTCCCTCGATCCTTTCCCCTCCCGGTTGGTTAAGGAGTGCTGGGAGGGACTACGAGATCCCTTAAGGAGCATCATCAACAGCTCCTTGGAGCAAGGAATTTTTCCAGATTGCCTGAAAGAAGCAGGGGTCCATCCTCTCTTGAAAAAACCAAGCCTAGACGCCGCCATACCTAGTAACTATCGCCCAGTTTCAAACCTTCCGTTTTTTGGGTAAGGTGATTGAACAGACAGTGGCGGGGCAACTACAGCAATTCTTAGAGGAGACTGCGGGCTTGGACCCCTTTCAATCAGGTTTTTGTTCAGGTCATGGGACAGAGACTGTCTTGGTAGCTATTACTGATGAAATTCATTGTCAGTTAGACCAAGGTGGAGCGGCGCTATTGATACTCTT